GAAAGTTTAATTAGGAATTCATAGAGGTAAAGAAGTGAGTGTTAGAAGAAATGGGCTCAGAAAACAAGTTCAGAGGCAAAAAACGGGGGGCGGGGGGGACCCTTGGAGCTTAGGAGAGAGAGAAGGGTAAAGGAAATATGCCTGGGAGGAAGAAGAGGAGGAGAGGGAAGATGTGGGTGTGCTCCCAGGAGGGGAGAGCGCCTAGACTTCAGAATGGAGTTAAAGAACATTGTCTTCATTAGGCTTAGGAGAGGCAGAAGATGGGGTGGGTCTCTGACAGCAAATCCACTCAGCTTTAACAAGGGCTGTGTGTTGAAGTTAATGTGAAGTAAAGGTGTTGGTGGACAATAAACTGGAGGTGAAATCAAGAGCAACTAAATACTTAGTTGATTACACTACATCTGGTTTTCATCATAAATCACTTCCCAGTGCTCAAGCTGTGCATGAGATTAAGGCAGTGATGGTGAACCTTTTGAGCTCGGTGTGTCAGCATTTTGAAAAACCCTAACTTAACTCTGGTGCCGTGTCACATAGAGAAATTTTTTAATATTTGCAACCATAGTAAAACAAAGACTTATATTTTTGATATTTATTTTATATATTTAAATGCCATTTAACAAAGAAAAATCAACCAAAAAAATGAGTTCGCATGTCACCTCTGACACGCGTGTCATAGGTTCGCCATCCCTGCACTAAGGTCTATCCCAATGAGTCTGGCCCCTCCCAAGAGGTCCTGTTGGGAGGCCACGCACTGATTTTTCTAGGACTATTGCTCTTGCTCACAACCTATTTGGAACTCCATTTTGGAATGGCCTTCAGAGCCCATGGCATAGTTTTTGGTTGTCCTCACTGGTAGGTAGTACGTCATACTTTAGGATCCTGGAATCATGGGAAGCTACTTGGTTGCAAGTCTAGTGTGCATAAGTTTCCTGAACAGCTGGTAAATACCCTTTGGTTATGACAGGAGCAGCTGTACAGCAGTGAAACTGACTTTCTGTTAAAACAGCACTGCTCTGGCTCAGTGGTTGAGCATCGACCCATGAACCAAGAGGTCCCTAGTTCAATTTCAGATCAGGGCACATGCCCAGATTGCAGCCCGATCCTCAGTCGGGGGCGTGCAGGATGTAGCCGATTGATGTTTCTCATCGATGTTTCTGTCTCTCTCAAAAAAATTAATAAAAACATTCAAAACAGCACAGGCATGGGTCACCCACTTCCTTCTACAGCCTTAGTCTACAAGTGATTCTTTTTTTAAAAATACATGTTTTTATTAATTTTAGAGAGGGAGGGAGGGAGGGAGAGAGAGAAAAACATCGATCTGTTGCTCTCATACGCACCCCAACTGGGGACCAAACCCGAAACCTGGGCAAGTGCCCTGACCTGGAATTGAACCAGCGACCTTTCCATGCACGGAATGACGCTGAATTAACTGAGCCACACTGACCAGGGCCATAAGTGATTCTTAATCTTTTATGGTTTGTAGACCTTTTGAAAATATGATGAAAGCCATAGACTCTCCCTGCAAAAAAACAAACTGTATACAAGTATATATATGTATTGGCCTGTAATTTGGGGCTTCTGTCACCTCCCTGGAGCCCATCTTTGACTCCGTTTGTCCCAGCCTTCTGCCTAAGGTCAACATAATGATAATGTTTAGAGAACTTCAAGTAGCAAGCCAGAAACAAACTATATAGTTACATAAACATCCTGAATGTGAGTGTGATTTAAGACTGTAGCAAGTTAATCTATCATTGGAGTGGAAATTGATGAGAAGGTAAGGAATCACGGACGATGTAACTTCAAAAAGGGTTACACTGGAAAATATCTACTTTCAGGGAAGGGGGTTCGGGGACTGGGTGAAAGAAGTGAAAGGATTAAGAAATACAAATTGGTAATTTTAAAATAGTCATGAGGATATAAAGTACAGCATATGGAGTGTAGTTAATGACATTGTGATAACTATATATGATGCCAGGTGGATGCTGGAAATATTGGGAAGAACATCTTGTAAAGTACTAGTATATGATTGTCTAACCACTATGCTGTACTCCTGAAACTAATACAAAATAGTATTGAAAATAAACTGTAATTGAAAAATAAAAATAATGCACATGTGCACACACACAAATACCTACTTTCACCTTGTGGGGAGAAGATAGATTTTAAGTGAAAGAAAACTTGGGGGAGAGGGCATTTCAAGGAGAAGGAGATGGGCACTTGATGGAAAGAATCTGAAAGGACCTAGGACCACGATGGACTTCTAGGATGCAGGGCTCCACCTGAGTCCTACTCCTTACTGCCTCTTCCATGCCGATTTCAGATCTTGAAAATACTCACAGGGAAGATAGTGGTGGGACATGCCATCCACAATGACTTCAAAGCCCTTCAGTACTTTCACCCCAAGTCTCTTACCCGTGACACGTCCCATATCCCTCCTCTCAACCGGAAGGCCGACTGCCCAGAGAATGCTACCATGTCTCTGAAGCACCTCACAAAGAAGCTGCTGAACCGGGACATCCAGGTAACCTCTCCCCAAATGCTGCCAGGCCCCTTGGTTGGACACTGGGGGGTCCTTTCTTACTGCCTCTCCAGGCTCTGGGCCCAGAATTCCTTTGTAGAGAAATCCAGGCAGGCTGCTCTTAAAGGAAGAGCTTTGGGCTAAGAGGCCCATTGATCTCTCTATGTGTACATAAGGATAATTCCTGTTCGCTACCAGTGTTCAAAATTGTACTTGGGAAAGGAAAAAAAAGTCTTAAGTGGGTGTAAAACCCTAAGAAACTAGGAAACCAGGTGGTGGTGGTCTAAAGACCTCAAAGTGGATGCAAGGACCTCTCATGTATTTCACATATTTGGCATTCAAGAAGGGAGTGACCTGCCTGGTAGAGGGTGTAGACATGTCATAAAGAGAGAGTTAAGGAACTGGGGAAAATGGAAGACTTAGAAGGCCTGGCTGTGATCTAGATGTCTTGTCTCTACAGAATAGAAGAATATGGCGTTCACATGTTGCCACAGAAAGGATTGAGGCGGATAAGAGCAGAATTCCTAGGAGCTGAACCCTTGAAATTAAATAAGGAGTAGGGCCCTACCATAGTTCTACCTTTGCAGCCTACTAACTGCAGAAACAACTGCTTATATAAGGGGTTAGGGGGAACCGGTAGGGAAGGGGGAAAAACAACACTTTTTAAAAAATCTTTATTGTTGAAGGTATTACATATGGCCCTTTTCCCCCCATTGCCCTCTCCAACCTCCCCC